CCCAACCTTTATCAATCTCGTAAACAAAGGAAACTATATACAAATTTGTATGTGTGTTATGCATAAAAATTGCATGCTACACCAAGCTAGTCTCTCTATCTCTTACTCTATATGCCCTCTTAATTAAGAGTTGCAACAACTATTTATAAACAAGCATTTACAAGGCACAACTCCCCTTCCTACTTTTAAAAAAGTAGTGGAACACTATCTCATCCATGTTCACTTATAAACATAGTGGCTCCATTATCTATCAAGTAGTGGGTAGTTTTTCTCTATGATCTCCCACGATCTTAGAAAGTTAAGAGCACTTCCAGCAATGCTCTCAAGTTCTTCAACACATCTCTCATGATCCTATGATCTTGGATTCTTATAACTGCCACTAACTCATGTTCTGTATGCCCACATGGCAGCCCTAACTGTCAATTCCTACTGCGTCATGCTACTAGTCTCTCGTATGCCTTGGACAATCATTTGTCCAAGTTTTAGTTCATGCCAAGTTGAACCCATGACTTGCATCAGTTGTTGCACGCTATCAAATTCGCATATGCATGTAGGCTATCAACGTCTATGTGTCGAATTCGCATATGCATGTAGTTTGCCAATGTCTACATTGCAGAATTATGTGACAACCCTTGTTCTTGTCAGCCTATACTCCTGACGAATTTTCTTGCCTAGCCTGGACAGTCCAGTGTCCAACCCATGTTCGTCAACAATATGCCCTTCTGATTTTTCTTTGACAAACTTACAATTGCACAAATTTATGCTACCAATTTATCCCACTATTAGTATGGCTGTCAACACTCTTAGATACTATTTTGGACAACCTATTAAAGTATGCATGATGTGCACATTTCACATTGTTACACAATGACTACAAGAAATATTCATTCAACTAGTCTCTAGCATATTCACATGTTTTCAATTAAATCCATCAATCTAAAATTGCTGCTTGCTTTTTACTAAAATGTCAAGGGCCTCCAAACAATTACTACATTTTCTAATTCATATATTGTCCATTTAATTTTTCTTTGGAATAAAAAATTGATTTTGTATGTTAGGTCTTATATATTATGCTACCAATATCATGAATTAAATATCTATTTTAAATTTGTACAAAATTTCAATTTCAATTTCAATTTTCATAATTCATAGCATACTTTCTAACCCAACTTATTTATTTTGATCAACTAATTGGAGAAATAATAGCTTGTTTTTAAATAAACTTAGATCTTATAATAGCTCTCCACTTCTAGCCAGAATAAAGTAAATTACAAACATAAGCTGTCATCACATTTGAGCAGTGCTGTTCGAGGGGCTAAAAAAAGAATTGATCCTACAAACATTCTATTGGTGTTAAAACCACATGCCACTTCCCCGTCTCTAGACACTGCTATCAACCTAGCTCACCCTTCATCAAGCCTCTCCTTCTCAACAAAATCCAGAGCTTCTTGCAGGACTAATCCCATGTACTCCATCAATGCCGCCACATCACGTGCTAGTTTCCCACGTACAATGGCCTCTCCTTCTCAGTGCATGATCACACAAAGACCACGAGCGTAGGTCCCAGAACCAATCAAGGGTGAGTCACCAACACGACTTGTTCTTTCATTCATGGGCCCACCAGTTGAAGTGGCAGCAGCACACCTTCCTTCGTGGTCCACAGCCACACACCCACCTGTTTCAGGCTGTACACGAGGAACACCGCTAAGCTTTTTCTTACATATTTTAATCATATTTTAGACTTGTTTTGGTGTCTTATGGTGTTAAGCTTGGATGTTGTTTAATATATGAATTTTTTTAATTTAATGCTATTTTGAGTTGGTTGTTAATATTTTATGGATATTTATAAAATATTTAAATGTTGTTTTTATTCAGATAAAATGATTTTTATAATCTGTCAAATATAATAGTAGGAATGTTGATGTTTTTTCTAGGCTATTAATTCATGTTATAGGTTTGAATTTTGATTAAGTTCTTTTAAGTATTAAGATATCAATTTT